CTGGAGATTTGACAATCTTGATTTTTTAAAAATATATGCTACATAATTTGCATGCATCTTATTTGCTGCCAGCATTTATGTGGTAAAATGTTAATTTTTATTGAATGTTTACTATGTGGGTTGGTCCTGTATGTATGCCTACCTTAAACTATGCCTCCACTTCATATCCAAGTGGTGAGTAGAAAACATATTTTCTGTACATGAGAGGACAGTCACAAAAGGGACAGAGAATGGCACAAAACAGCCCTTGCCATTTCCCATGGGCCAACTATCACTCCAAACAGAGGGACTCAATGAGAACCTCTCTTTTAGTCTCACACATATCTGAATTTAGGACATATCAAATGGCTTTAAAAGTAAAGAATATACCCAAAAGCCATGACACAGTAAAATTCCCCTAAAACAAGATTGGGAATTTTTTTTTTTTTTTTTTTGAGACAGAGTCTCGCTTTATTGCCCAGGCTAGAGTGAGTGCTGTGGCGTCAGTCTAGCTCACAGCAACCTCAAACTCCTGGCTCAAGCAACCCTCCTCCCTCAGCCTCCCAAGTAGCTGGGACTACAGGCATGTAGCCACCATGCCCGGCTAATTTTTTTGTATATATATATATTAGTTGGCCAATTAATTTCTTTCTATTTATAGTAGAGACGGGGTCTCGCTCTTGCTCAGGCTGGTTTCGAACTCCTGACCTCGAGCAATCCGCCCGCCTCGGCCTCCCAGAGAGCTAGGATTACAGGCATGAGCCACCGCGCCCGGCCTAGATTGGGAATTTTTTAAAAAATAAAATGAGATCAAATTGCTCTGTTTATCCACACTAACTAGTTATACCAAAGCACTAGCTTTCTTTTTATTTCCTGTTTTTTAGCATTATGTTGTTTTGTTTTAACTTAAGACTCTACAGCGCACATCCAGAATTTAACATGTCTTAAGTTTAAAATTGAGCAAAAGTGATATAAATTGTTCCTTAGCTATTCTTGGAGGAAAGGACAGAGGGACAGGTGGAGAGAAAAGATATTTTTGGAAGGAAGATCAGATCCCACTTTTTAGGATTTCAGTCTTCAGACCTAGAAACCAAAAATGGATAGAAAATAATAGAGATAGCAAACAAATGACCCCCTTCCCACAAAAAAGCAAAACACCAAAAAACAAGACATGTGGCTGTCTTGCTATTTACTAAGCCTTGCCACTATTAGCTCCACTCCCTTACATGTTGGTCAGAGAATAGCAGAACCAGGCTCCACCTTTTTCGTGCTGCCTTCCAAGTGACATTATCAGCTCACAGTACGCTATAGTCATTGCCTCTGAGACTCACTGCTGCACATTTCTTTTCCTTTCCTCTGGCCTTTGTCTGGAGACTTTCTTCTCTTTTATTACTATGGTGTCCCCATCACAGAATGTTCTCCCAGGCTAACTTGGAAGCTCTTAGATTTCTGCTACCTTTCCTACCTTCTGGTTTCTCAAGATACTCCTTAAGTTGAGGCCTGACTCAAGAACAGTTTACAAATAGTTAACAGGGCTTTGGCAAACTCCTAGGAATCAGTTCCTGAATTCCTAAAACAAGTTCTTAGTTGCTTTTCCTCTGAGGCTTAGAAAGTGGCTTTTTATTATAGTGTTGGAATACGGTAACCACAAGTTGACAGTTACAAATATGATTTTCACATTGGCCAGTAAGTTTCACATTGAGAAAAAAAATGATTCTTTAGACAACGCTGCAGTCTAGTCTTGGTCATGTACCTAATATGTATATGAATTCATTCATTCATCCATTCATTCATACAACAAACATATGGAGAGTCTACTGCTCTATATGCTGGGCACACGATGGTGAAGAAAACAGACAAAAATCTTTGTTATATTTCACTGTGGTGCAATTACTGGTGGTCACAAGCAAGTGTGTGCAATAACTGCTGGTAGGAGGAGTTGAGCTGACCTGAACCACAATAATCACAGTACATCTGTTGTCTACCACCAGCATTATCCCAGGAGAGAAGCAGAAGGAAGGGATTCCAAAACTTCGATGCTTCACTTTCTTCTACTAAGTGTGAATGCAAATGTTTGATGTTCTATTCATTCAACCTCTCTATATTGAAAAAAGAATTCAGTGCAGAATCTAATATACATCATGTCTATAATGGGAAATTTATGTCAAGAGAAAATAATGTAGTATGCTAGGAATCAAGAAACCTTATTTGTAATCTTCCCTTTTTTTTCTCTTTGTGACTTGAGCAATACATTTTGATTAATCAAATTGTATTAATGGCCAGAATTTGATGGGCATGCAATTGTTCACCCTTCTTTGTCCTCAGTGAGCATCCCACAAGAGAGAAAATATACTCACACACACGTACATATACATACATTCAAGCCTGTAAGTGAAAATTTTACAGCAATGTGCTCTAGAAACACAAATGTCTAGGAGGTAGTATTTGAACTTGATCTTCAAGACAGTAATATTTTTACAAAGGAAGAAACAGATAATAAATGAACAAAGACATTGCAAAAAGGGCACTCATCATGGATGGGCAAGGCACATACAGAGTATGTGTGTGGGAAACAGATCAGTACAGAAGGTCCCTGACTCAGTATAGTTTATTTATCATTTTTTGACTTTATGATGGTCCCAAAGCAATATGCATCCAGTATGCTCCTCCACTTAAGATGGGGCTAGTCCTAATAAACCCATTGCAAGTTGAAAATATCGTTAAGTGGAAAATGCTCTTTCTACTTAACGATATTTTCAATTTATGACGGATTTATCAGGAAATAATCCTGTCATACGTCAAGGAGCATCTGCATTTGATTGTGATTTTGTGTTTAGAATTTATCCTCTAAAAAAACCACTTAGGCAGGAAGACACTTAGGCAGGAAAATGCCAAGATCCTACCTGTTCTTTGACAGCAGTTGAGAGGAGGGAAGAGAGAAGAAGTGGGAGACACAAACACCACCGGGGTTGAGTGAGGCAAGGGTTTGGCCTGGGTACTGGTGGGGAGACTGGGAGAGGGTAAAACTGATCTGGGTATTGGTGGGTTGAAAAGGGAGGGGAGTGGTAAGCAGCAGAGGTAGGTTACACCTCGTCTTCATAAACATTTGGCTTGGGAATAGAGGAAACACATTCCATGCACTAGAGTCCTACAGTTTTTTTCTCATCATCTGGAACTTCTTCTATATGTATTAAGCACTTACTATGAGCCTGCCAATGTCCGACGTGTTTTACAGGCATTAGCTCACTCCTTACTCACATCCACCATGACTTGTCCTGCATTGGAGTATGTGGGAGAGGACAGTGGCTGACTCACTGTGTACTTTCTCATAGGAGTAGAGTCTTTATAGCCTATAATAAGAAGGCCATATGTGACTGCACTGGGAAGGCATTAAGTGACTATAGTACAAATAAATTATTTAATGAAAGAAATTGTGTTTAAAATTCTCAAAAAGTTTGGCAGTTTTTGACAGCAAATAGGGTTCTTTGCAAAGAAAAGAGAGGAATCAAGTATTCTCTCGTTTCAAGCAGAAGTAATTAAGAGGATGACTCTACACAGGTAATTTGGGAAGATCCGATTGATGTAGTAGCATATGTTTGTCTTTTTGCATAAGGAGTTCAAAGTGCTAGAAAGTTAACAGGGGTCTCACAGAAAAGCTGAATTAAGAACTGTAGGTCTACATAGTTACCATGTAACCTCTTAGGGCTCTGTGTATTTAAGGAGGTTGAAAATACGATTCTACGCACATAGAAGGAAAAGCAATCTATTCTTGGGATGGCACTGTAGGGGTTGACCAGAGCAAAGTCAGATGTCAGTACTGCAATCTAAACCCCAGGAAAAGGGATGGAAACAGAAACTAAAAGGGAAGCCCGTAGTCAAAATCAAATTTTGCACAACAGAATTGGGATCCAAGATCAAAACCAGTCTTAAGATGGAAATAAAAAAAATTTAAAAAACGGCAGAAAACGATTACAGGGAGCCCTCGAATACATACTGCACTGAACTAACAGCAGATGTCTGCTGCCTTCCTCCTGCTAAAGAGGCACCATCCATTTCTTAGGGGGAAATCCTCAACGAAGCAAAATATGGTTGATTAAGTCTGAAAGTATTTATCACACTGATTCCTAGACTAAGGATGAGTAAGATGTAACTTTCTGAATACCAAGAATGAGAGACCTGGAAACTATTATGAGCCATTAAGTTCCCAAAGGCCATCACAGGTGAAATACTGGTCAGGCTCCCGGGAAAGATGAACAGGAGCATCATGGGAAGATGTCAGCTGTAAAGCAGAGTGAAGACTGAAGCTACGATTATTCCCAACTCAGGCATCCTCTTCTCATGAAACAATAGCTGTAGCTAAGGACTGAGTGCTAACTCAGTGCCAACTCTTTTCATTAATTAACTCTTTTGACTCTAACAAAAGTCCTATCAAACAGATTCCTTCACCCTCCTCAGTACAGGTCCTACAAGGGAGGAAACTAGTGACTTCTCAAATCCCACAGTTTATACGGGTAGAGCTGGGATTTGCATCAAGGCACTCTTCCTCTGGAGTCTTTTCAGGTAGGGTTACGATGGCAACTGCCACAGAGGCTGCCAGGCAAGCAACTGCTACTGTCTAGCAGGACAGTAAAGAGGACAGCTAAGGAAGGGGCCTGACAGGAGAAATCTGAAACATGTATAATTTTTATAGGGCTTTAGAATTAGTACTCATTATAAGAAGTGCATGTTCTGCTTCTTATCCAATTTGAACCTAGTAATTTCATAGCATTTCAGACTAGGCAATCCTGAGTGCATGCTTCAGCAATTTGCACTAATACATCATGAACAACTGCATATATAAGTCAATGGGTGATATCATGAAGAGACATATTCTAAAGTGAAAAAAAAAAATCTTTCCATTATTCTATTTTCTTAGTTGATTTTTGTTGTTGTAGTCAACATGAAATGGGTTGTACATGTGACTTATTTAAAATCCTTTATTATTATTAGGCCTGTCTTTTAGGTGGACCACTCTGGATGCCTTTCATGCTTCAAAACCATTTTTTATTCAAGTATCTTACAACCACCCTAGGAAAGGAATTCTGTTATTATTCCCCATTTGAAGATGACAAAAACAGACACAGAGAAAATATGCAACTAAACGAATACCCACTAGCGTCACAGTCTTTAGAATAGTAATATTATATAAATGTGGTGGTAACAATGCACCAAACATCTCTCCAAACCAAATTTTAAATTCTAAAAAATGTACAACAGGATTCTAATGAAGGGACTCACTTCTCTAAGTCAGAAGAGTATAAGCCCTTAAACTCATGTTAGACGTCTACCATGATTAACAAACTCATACTAATTTTTAAAAACTGCTTAATTTACTTAATTATAACTAGCAATACACAAAAATTTTATACATAATTTATTAAAAATAATTTTGGGAAATTATTATTTGGACTAAGCAGTGATGGGACTATTGAAAAGATAAGCTGGTTATCAAATAATTACCCAATGTTAATCCTGAAAAATAATAGTTACAACCCAACATTGTGCATTCAAGACAGGCACAGTATTAACAATAACAAATATCAGAAACACACTTAAAATGTCCATATGTTTAGTCCAAATGTCCTTAAAATGTACATATGTTTAGTACACATGAGAATTCATTGACTGAAATAAACCATGAAACTTGTCCTGGAATTTAGTGGGCTATTAAGTTCAATTTGTCTTACTGTTTTAAAATTTAAATAGTTTGGCCCATTTCTACATTTGTTAAAAACTGTAATCTTAAAATATTAAAAAATAACTTTACAAACACATAGATATAACTAACCATCACATCTAAAAACTTATAAAATAGTCCCAGAGAGCTTTCAAGATCCCTGTATTTCAAAGCTTATTTCAAAAACCATCGTTATTTTGCAATTATATACTGTATCCTTGCATTAAAGATATGAACTGTAAATGTGCAATCACATACTAAGCATCCACATCCCAATTCTAATGGCACCATTCCTTTTGTTAACATAGAATGCTGTTTCTAATAAAATCATGACATAGTTCTACAGTTTCGATGGCAAAATTCAAGGTTCTCTGTTGAGGAGATACTGCAGCAATCACCAAGATATTTGAAATAACAAAGTTAACATTACATTGATTTTAGGAAAAACCAAGATTACATATATTTACATAAAACCAAAAAGGAATAATTCACTTTAAGAGAGAAGAAAAGAGGAGTTCTTAAAAATATTTGGATTCTCCAACCCAAGTAGAAATTTTAAAGACAGAGAGGGAAGAGAGAGAGGGAGACTATTTGGCACCTCAAAGAAAAAACTTGCAGGGATAAGAATACATTCTGAAAGCACTTTTAAACTTACATTTTACCGACAAAGTAGGTAACAGAGGAAATGTGAATTCAATGCAGTATTTGATATAGAATAAAACCTAAAATTGCTTAATTATTTTTTTTACAACTTCATCAAAATGGAATTGTAATAACACTCAATGTCTGGTTAGAAATTTCCCTTTGCATTATGAAGGTAGTGCTATAAGAATAAACAATAGCAAGAATGCAATATATACACTTCAGACTATCGCAGAAAAGAAGCACCACACAAATGATTAATTAATTCGTTAACTGGAGATAATGCTAAAGCTAGGTCTCTACAATTTTCTATCAGCTTGTACTTCAAGTAGTCTATAACATAGACTTGAATTAATTACATTTTATTGCACTATAAATTGGCTGTTGTTATTATACCCAAATGTAACCAATAATGCAGACTTTCTTAAATTTTCTATTTATAGATCTCCTTGGGTGGAAGACAAGTAATTAAAAACTATGTAAAAATTGAAAATTTGTGTGCTTATTTACAGTGTCTCTCTGTAAATGTACATTTGGCCAAAGAGATTCCACCAAAACAAAGGGAAAAAAAGCCCCAAACATAGCATCTTCTGTTTTTAAAAAATCCTGCTTTGTAATTACAAAAAAAAAAAAAAATGATAAAGCCACTGGCTTTGCACACTTATTAGAACACACTCATCTCTTCATGCATGCTTCTGCTAGTGTCCTAAATTTGGGTTCCAAATTATCCAAAAATTCAAGTCCATCTTCTTCTTGTCGTTCGCTGCAACAACCTACAGACCCAGCCGCCGATCCTCTTCCTTCATAGTTATATGTCAGGACATAGTCTTGCGCATGCTTGTGACTGTCATCCTGATTACACAGATGCACCCTCTGCCAAGGGGAAAAACACAACATTTTTTATTATTATTATTTTAAACACCAAAACTTACTAACATAAAAATGATTGCTTGGATTTACCTTTCATTGTTTAATTTTTAATCAGAGTGTGTCCTCTAATGGATTCCTACACATAAAAAATGCACATGATTGGTGTGTGGCATAAATCACACTATCAATTCAGTATACATAGCATGTCTCTAAAAGTCACACAGGTGGTGGCACGTATACGAGTGTCCGTTTTATGTAATCATTACTTCCCCTTTCGAAACTAAAGCTGAAAGTGAAATGCATCCATTAAACTGAAACCAAATGGATGCGGGCTCAGATCTTCCCAGGTAGGCACAGTGGCATGGCTTGTACCGCACTTTTGGTTTCTAAGACAGGAGTTGGCAGGTGGGAAATACCAGCACAAAGTCATGAGAGGGTAATTTAAATACCATCCCACATTATTTCAGCAAGAACAACATTCAAAGCCAAACAAAATATGAGAGAAAGTAAATCACTACTTAAATCTGAACATAACTCAATGGAAAATTAAGGAAAAATAATAACTTTCTAATCGGCAGAGCCATAATTAACCGAAAATAAAGATCAAAATAAACACTAACTTGAGATCATTGCTAAAGTGTCAAAGGAAATCAAAATAGCTCTGTAGGACACGTAGGGAAAACTCACTTCACCGAGACGGGGCTGAGTGAAACTGTGCCACTCTGAGTAATTGTATCTGCAGTTGTCAGTCTCCACGCGTCCTCCCCTGCAGGAGTCCAGGGTGTGAAGGTGCCCAGCTCCCTGGCAGGTGTCCAGGGTGTGAAGGTGCCCAGCTCCCTGGCAGGTGTCCAGGGTGTGAAGGTGCCCAGCTCCCTGGCAGGTGTCCAGGGTCTGCTGCCCTCCTTTCACCATCTCAATGGTCTCCTGCCCTCCAGGTCTGACTCCTGATCCCACAGTACCACAAATTCCCTGAGCAGAAGCGCCCACGGTGTGGGTGGTGAAGCCATTCGGGGAACACTGGAATGAAAACAGTTTGCATTTGGCAAACACAGAAAGGAACAATGAAAAACAACAACATCGCGCAGATAACACCATGTTTTTTTGTGTGTGCTAGAAGGGAAGCTCACTGAGGGCAGGAACTAAATCTGTCATATTAATTCTGAGTACCTAACTATTAAAACCCCAGAATTTGATGTAGTATCTAACATAAGAAGCAAATCACAGTCCTAGCACTCTGGGAGGCCGAGGCGGGTGGATTGCTCAAGGTCAGGAGTTCGAAACCAGCCTGAGCAAGAGTGAGACCCCTGTCTCTACTATAAATAGAAAGAAATTAATTGGCCAACTAATACATATAGAAAAAATTAGCCGGGCATGGTGGCACATGCCTGTAGTCCCAGCTACTCGGGAGGTTGAGGCAGGAGGATTGCTTGAGCCCAGGAGTTTGAGGTTGCTGTGAGCTAGGCTGATGCCACGGCACTCACTCTAGCCTGGGCAACAAAGCTAGACTCTGTCTCAAAAAAAAAAAAAAAAAGCAAATCACAGATGTCAAGTAGTTACTATTTGGAGGTAAATCAGAAAGCCTGATGTGTATTCCTTCTTTAAAAACTTCTTAGAGCAGTGTACAACTTTAGTTGTTAAGTCCTTCCAGCACTGCACAACCTCAAAATCAGCACTATGGTCTCACATATATTTACTTTGCTTAGTTTAAGCTCAATCCTTTTTACCTAACTAGAGCAGAAACAGAAATAATAATCAGTATTTTTATTTAGCATCTAATTCAGTTACGTTTCAATTAAAACAAAAAGAATGAAAATAAAGTTGCCATAAAAATCTTAACTGCAATAATAAATCCCTGATATCTAAATAATTACAAATAAATCAGGCAGAGAAAATAACAAGAACACCAAAGCTTTGGCCACTATCTTTGCTGTATTTCTGGAAACTCTAATAGTATTTGTTTTATTTTTTTCAGTCCCTTCCTAGATGCCATCATGCTTTTGTTTTAGAAATCTTTCCTGCCATCATCATCAATTACACTTTTTATAAGGAATTTACATGTTCCTCTTCCAAATGTTGGGCTAGTAAACAAAGTTGGAGCCATGTGGCCACTTGCTAGCACTGCTACGTCATGTATTTGGCCTCAAGCTCTTTCCTAACCCCCATATTAGAGACAGAAATAATTCATTAAAGTTCTTCCCACGATGATCAAAGCTTGTACTAATTTTATTGCTGTTGCTAGAAAAAAAATTATGCTAGTGATCTGTGAATAATATTTTAAAATTATGCTAGTGATCTGTGAATAAATTTTAAAATATTATGCTAGTGATCTGTGAATAATAAAATGAAACATTTTTACAGTACAAACAGCAATTTAAATATGTAAGAAAGACCAGGCCTAACATTGAAACCATGGAACATCTGAAATAGAAAATAATAATGACACACTAAAGGATTTTCACTATTAAGTAACACTCTCTGGCCAAATTGAAATACCATATATCACATGTAAATAAATCAAAGTCATTTTATCTGTTCCATGGGACAGATGAAATTTTATGGTAAAGTTACCTGGTATCAAAAGAACTTTTCTCAGAAAAGATAATTTTAGGGGAAATATACATTGTAGGCGCATTCATCCTTTGCATTCATTTTTAAAAGATAGACTTCTTACCACTCTGTCATCTCCAGGCGCTTCTGTGTTTGATACAATTAGGTTCTGCTGGGCTAAGTCATCAGGAAACGTTTTTGGTTGTGTGGCTGTCCGAGAAGCCCCACAGATTAACGTAAACAGGATACCTGGAGGAAGGAAGAAATTACTTGAGTTTATCATAAAATAATGTGAAGTTATGAATTTATAATGATTAATACACAGATAAATCATAAATTTAAAGGTGTATATTAAAAGTCTTCTAGAGCACATAACTATGACTGCTTATGTCAAAGCAGTATACGATAGCAAAGTCTGCTCTACACAGATATGCTACAGTACATGTCACATGCTGTATTTCCACACTGAATTTCATGTCCATGCTAATTTAGAAGACCCTAGAACTATATATAAATGCACATAAAATATATAGATTAAATATCTGTGCGCACTAAATTGAAATACAGCTATACACAAATGATCCGCTATAGGAAATAGTGTTGGTTCTAAGAATGTTTCTTGAAAGTTAGTCTAAAGGTTATTATTTGAATTCAATAAAGGACTTACAAAATAGCAATGCTATGCCCAACAATATTGCAAGGATAGCCCATGTTCCAAGTCTAACTTCTGCTCCGCCAACCCTTGGACCTGCACGGTATGTGCAGTCATTTTCAGTAACACAGTCACATAGTGTAACAGTCAATGAAGTGACCTTAGACTGGCCAAGTCTATCTGAAACTTTGACCGGAACTACATATTGTCCAAATGGAGGATCATTCTGATAGGAAAGCCGCGCTGCTGTATCTGAAAAACATAAATAAGTAAAACCAAGCATTATAGAATGTCATCAATTTCTTCTGAGCGTAACTAATTATCAGGGAGTTATCAGAGTTCCCTACAAAGGAACATTTCTGATGGTGGGATGGCACAACTACTAGAAGATTCTAAATGTGAATGAACTGAGTAGTTCTAATCTATAGCTATTGAAAATATACTGCGTATAAATGTCTGTCTATACTGCCTCTTATATAAATGTCTTTGGCTCTTATAATAATATATTTTGTCTGTAAAAAAATTCTTCCTATCATAACTAATAGATTTAAGAGATCATTTTTTATCATATCTTTAAAATATTTAATTAAACCATTCAGTGTATATTTCCTTGTACACAATTCATCAGAGGAATAGTCTAAAATTCTGGATGTTTCCTTTTACTTTGTTTTCATAAATTGTGCCAAATAAACATAAATACTTGTGACTTATTGTCATAGATGGATTGTGACAACTTTGAACACACCTGACCATAAACATATTAGCAGGTCCTAAGTTGCACTACTGGAACGACATTTCCTGGTTCTAAAGGACACTAGGACCAAATACACCTTTCCTAGTTTTGATGAATGTTTTTTACATCGAGAACAGAAAATATCCAGACCAAAAGCCAATATAATCTTACGTTCAAAGCTAAAGATATAATACTACTCTAAATGTAGTTACCACATGCCAGAGATTAATCCCTCTCCCACTTAACTGTCCAGTGTGACATTCTCACCTTTTGTAGTGTTTGAAGCTTTAAAGGTAAATTTAAATGCTCAGGTAAAGAAATCATTGAATTAAAACTCCACTTTAAGAGAAACCACAATATAACAAGACTGACAGAACCAAAACTTATGATTCATAATGTGTCATGGCCTGCTGCATTCAATATCTCATCTACGCCCTCAAATAATCCTATCTTACACATGAGAAAATGGGTGCTCAAAAAATAAAAATAAATAGCATGCTCAGATTGACATAATTATAATAGCAGATGATGGAGCCAGCATTTGACACTAAGCCTGTCTACTTCAAAGCCTCTTTAGGGTATGGTCTTCTTAACTCGGTGTTTTCCAGGCTTTTGCATGACTACACAGACCAGTAAATCTTTAAAATAACAACGTTTTTGGCCAACACACTGCTGCCAAAGTTTTATTTTGCTAAGTATAAATATAAAAAAATTATCACCTTACCAATACTATGTAAAAAGAAATAATACTATGACACCAAGTAAGTAGAAAGGGCAAACTCTAAGAATAAGGTTAATTATTCCCAAGGAAAAAATCATTTGATAACCACATTCATACCCACACACCCCAGAATATTATAACCAAAAAAACCCCAAACAAAACAAAAACTAAAAATCTTGTCAGTTCACAGAGCAGGATCCAAGACATTGTACCTTATTTCTGTAGATCCTTGTTTATCTTTTCCCATCCTGTTGTCCTTTTGCATTCTCTTACAACCTTTCTAATTTGTCATAATAGGAGATTGAGACACAGTCACTGCAAGTGTGGGGTTGAAAAACATTCAAGGGCATTCTAAAGGCAAACCTCACTCTAGTGCTGGAGTCATGGTAGCCAGTAGACCATGACCCCATGGACCATGGGCAGTGCGAGCAGGAAATGGAGAACGTGCTGAAGAGTTAGGAGCTGATGCAGGGAGGGAGGCAATGGTGGTAATGCAGAGAAAGTCCCTTCATTTTTGCCTTTCTTACGCCATAGATCCTTCTGGGCTAACGTTAAAACTGTAGACTGGGAACCAGGTTGGGGGAGAATCCCGAGGAGGACACAATACACACAAAATGGTCAGAAGTGAGCACGGTGGCAGAGGGGAGGACAGTGTGCCAGACACTGTAGTGTTCACCAGCTCCCCTTGCAATGAAGCACCTTCTGTCCCAGCTGCTTGGGAGGCCATTGGCACCTTCAGTGATTGTGCCTTCTCGCCAAAGCTCACGTCCCTCTGGGCAGCCCACACGCACTGACTGAGCAATAAGAGAGAACAGGGGATGGACTGGGGACCCCCTGAGAGGCCATTTAGCTCAGAGTCCCTGTGGGGTTAGCTGAGGCTGTCATTTGACCTGCACTGCAGTTTCACTTGTCCTTTTGCCCAATCCTGCTTCCCTTCTTTTCACAGCTATTGATCCCAAGCAAATTCCTTAATAAACATTCTGTGGGAGATACCCTCGAAGTCTCAATAGTCTGCTTCTGGGACTCAGTCTGCAAGAGATGGGGGCTCCCTTATGACCTAGAAACTATGTAAAAAAAAAAAAAATCTATGTAGGTGGGAGGCACACAAGTTAAAAAGTGATTGCATTAGACTTAGTCTAAGTAAGGGAACATGTGTGTGTGTGTGTGTGTGTGTGTGTGTGTGTATGTGTATGTGTGTGTGTATCTAGAGTGGGAATGAGAATTCATCACACACCTAAGGGAATCCAGGCATAGGATCAGGGACAGACATTGGAGAGACCCACCTCCCATCACCCCAAAACTGAGAAATTTTCATTGGTGGTTCCCATATAGTGAATTATTCTTCTATTTCATTAGGAAAAAAATATTGTAGACATCTTGATGTTGAAAAAGACAAAGCAGTGTTTAAAAACACACACCATTAATTTTTGTCAGTCTCCACATTCTCCGTACTTGTGAGTCAGAAGTCTCCAAACTGAAGTCAAAGGGTGGCCCATGCCTGGGTTCATCAGGATCAATAGCAACGATCTCTGCAGCTAACATGACGGTTTTGCAGATGATCACCGTTGGTTTAGGTATGGAAGGGCCGTTATCATTCACATCTTCAAGGATAATTCCCAGTGTCCCAGTACATGATCGCCCGACTAGAAAAATGAAAATAACACTTTTTTTTTAGGGTTTATGTTTTCACAAGGAAATTATACAATGAAAAAAATGTTTCAATATTTATTAAGCACCTATACATTATAAGTTATTAAAATAATGATAGGCAGTCACAGGCTATGTCCTCGGGGAATGTTAAGAAAAAAATATTACTACTTTCGAAAGGGTTGTACCGACAGTGAGTGCTATTTAGATGAATTTATTCATTTGCTAGATCACTGCAATAAACAGACATTTTCACAGAGGTAAGTTTTCACTGATTTTTAAGAGGAGAAAGGGAGTACAAACAAGAGCACTTATGGTATATTTCAAAGCACAAGGAAATTCAAGGAGATGGGAGAATATGTTACACACACCCATGATCTGAAGACAATGAACGAGAAGGTAGACAGCTGGAAGCCGACACTGGAGGAAAAGGCTGGGGGTCTTTGAAAGGCAGACTAGGGAGCTCAGAGGTTCTGGAGCAAAGAAATTGAATAGAAAATGTATATTTGGAAGATTCCAACAAAAATAATACATGGAAATGTTCAAAGGGTGGAAGACTCCAGAAGTGGAAAATTACTGAAACTGAAATAATCACTGTGGTGTGTAGCCGAAATAATTCATCTATCTATGTATCCAGTAAAGGCTTATTGGATGACAAGGCACTGCATTGGAAAATCTGGGGATTCAAAGAAGAAGCAGTCATGGGTCTATGCCTTAAATTAGTGATACAATTATGAAGTCCAAAGCCAAACACAAATCCAGGAGTTCCGTCTCTACATCATTTATTCGTTCTGCTTAATAAGGAGGCTTGGACATTAGAGGTGGAGAAGAAGATGAAAAAACCTGTGTTACCCACTGCCTAGTTATGTCTTATATGAAGCTGCCAACCTAGAGAAGCTGGGAGACCTAGGCACAGCCCTGCAGTCACAACCTCAACCAAGGTACCTGTGGCACAGTGACTGGACCTGTGATAGTGCTGTGTCTTCATGGGTCAGGAGCACAAGGCCACCAAGTTAAGGATTGGTTCTAAACTAGGGTTACTGATAAGAAGCAGGTGGAGGCAACTACAAGACTGCTAGTCAAGATGGGGTAGAGTGGGAGAGAGGAAAAAACCCCAAACAGAGAGTAAACCAAACATCTCCCATTTAAGATAAGTCTACAAATTAAAATTCCCAAGTGAGCAAGATTAATGTTAAAAAGGAAAGACAACAAAAACACCAGTCAAAAGATTAATTCATCCTATTTAAGACATCTGTGAAACAGGTACAGTTAGAATTTTCAAAGACATAAAGGAGGGTAACCAATTAAGAATGAAATGATAGCTCAAATTCCAGTAGAAATAAGACAGCAACATTCATCTAATAGGAATTCTTAAAAAAGAAAACAGACAGAATGGGGGCAGGGGAGCAATATTTCAAAAGAGATTAATTGCTGAGACTATTTCAGAAGTAAAGCAAAGCATGGCTCTTAAGATTGAAAGTATATTCTGACTACAGTGCTAGACAAATAAAAATAAATTCACAGTATATACAGTAAGTTAAAACTGTAGAACTCAACTCAGGGAATTATAAAAGCTACCTGGACATATTACCTACAAAGGGACAATAACTAGATTGACAGAAGAATAAGCAACAGCAAGAAGAGATTCCAGAAGATGACAGAGTAATATCTGCACAATCCCAAGGAAAAGAAACTATTAACTCAGAATTCTAAACCAAGTCAAAGTATCAATTAAGTAGGAAGCCAGAATTAAAATATTTTTTAGAACAACAAAACTGAGTTGTTATAAAAAAAACTAGTTTTGAAAAAACTAGCTCCCACCAAAAGAAAAGAGACTAGAAGAAAAGAAAATGAGAAACAAGAAACAATGTGACCACCTTCCATTTTGGACAACTTCAAAAAGAGTTTTTATATTAGATAAAGAAAGCACAGAAATATATATTATATCTACCTGGCATACTTTTCCATATTTATTAGGGCAGAATAATTTCTGTCTCTCAGCCTCTCTTGTTCTCATGCTATGTAGTGCTTTCCTGTCCTCTCTGAAAACTGGGACTGCTGGATATGTTGAACATTTCTTTCCCATTCAGTCCACACAGAATTGAGAGCACATGCCTTACCCATTGGATCTGGCTAATTGTGCTGTCTTTAAAAATTGAGCTCTATAGTGTTTGCTGTTCTACTCCTGTGATAAATGTTTCAATTTCCCTTCCATCAGACATTTAGAGTTACTCACTCATTAAACTCCAATTACATTTTTTTTGCACACTGTCATTAGTACTGGTATAGAAGAACATTTAAGACCTCGGACATCTAATTCACAGTGTTTCACAGCTGTTTGTCATCTGTTGATGAATTAAATACTCTTATTCATTGGATTGTAGGCATAAAATGCTCATCTTCTATTATTAATATAATTCTACATGGGTAGAATTACTAAGTACAAATATGAAGCCACATAAGATATACCACCCATGGTTTCGTGTTTTATGTGCATGGCACTCTTCACTCAAATGTTATAAATGAGTTGAAAGTAACCCCCTCCTAAAAGCTAAAATGCAATGAAAACAGAAATCTAAAACTCAACTATATAGAGGAGATACTTGGGTGAAACTCTCAACAGAATTTGGATTATGAAGAAATTGAGAAGAAAAGAGAAATGGAACTTACAACTTAAGAAATAATCTGTGTTTAGAAGAGGGGAAGGCAGTAAAACCAGAAAGCATGCAGGAATGTGTGGGAAAATTTAGACATGGAAACCTTGAGAGAGAAAGTTTTAAAAAAAAGGAAGCAAGTGTCATGGAGACATCAGAAGATGAGGTATGAGCACCAGCCAGCCCAAGAAATCAGTGCTCAAGAGAAGAGAGCAGAGAGCATTTTCATTGGGAAGTAGCAGGAAGGGCCCTGATGAATCAGCTAGTACAGATTTTAGAAAAAGGTTTTAAAAAATGGCATATTTTTGTATGATCTCAGTTCATTTCATTTAAAAATAAAACAATGTAGAATTATTGATTCACAATTCTTTCACTGGGAGGTAACAATGATTCCCACCCTCTTCCAAAGAAATGAATGGGAAAGGCCTCGTTACACCTTTATTCAATACCACGATGACGATTAATAGTGCCTCATCTCAACTCCATAAAAATAATTGATCTCTCAATCACTCTATCTCTTCTGCAACAGAGGAGAATGTAGAATAAAATTGCAGCCAAAAATCTCTAATTTCAGACAGCAATTTTTGTCTCATCTACAAATAAACCAGTTTCCAAGTGCTATTAAAAATGTAAAAATAATGAATTATTTTCATATGATCTTTCTTCTTTTCATTTGCCTTTGACCAAAAAGTATTTCTTGGCAAAGGGACATGAGCAGCTGAGGCCTTAAAGGACAGTCTTCAACTGGTTGAAGATAAACCAGTAATGATTACAACTTTACCAATTCAATAAATAGATATGAGTCATTTCTCATTAATTTAGAGAGAAATGGAATACCTAAATCATCTTCCAAAATCACTTCTAAATTCTAATTTTCAAGCTATAGCATAATAATTTATATTTATTATAGTTAGAATGTTTATTTTACAAAGACACAAAGTTCAGATTCAAGTTATGACAAAATTATATGTCATGCACTAAATGGGTCTCATATATAATCACTATATTCCTATTTCTCCCAATAATATAGGATGCACAGAACAAAATTTTACATTTTATATAATTATACAAATTCATAGTAATTGTGTCTAATTTTATAATATGTTATTAATTGTGACTATGATTTATTTTTATAATGTCTTTAATCAGAATTCTAGCCCCCAAGTATTTTGTTAGTTTTCCATAAAAAGTTAAAGCTGTTTTCTGAAAGTGCGTTATGTGGCAGTAAGTATGTTCTTCTTTTTCCTGCAAAGTGAATATTTTAAGAAAAATGAATAGATAAGTTGAAACTAATTATATTAAGGTAATTTTATCAACTTCTAATGATTATTTAACTTTAATAAATTATGGTTTCAAGTATTTCTGTGACTAAATTATTTTATAATTACATTTAAAACTGAGGATGCTATTAGAAAACAGACATGAGTTAATAAATTACAGCAAATCTTTTAATTAGTTTATACATCATTCTGGAGAGAAATGAAAACTGAGAGTGTATGTAGCCCCTGGCTTAAAAATGCATGGTGCTGGTTTAAACACTGAGGATATACGTAGCTGAGGATGTATGTAGCTGTCTTAAAAACAAAGTTCTTACCTCCATCTGATGCAACGATTGTAATATTATATATGCCATTTGTGATGAACTCTGCCTCTCTATCTAGGCTTCTGAAAACTTTGATTGATCCAGTATTTTCATCAACAGTGACCAACCCTTTTGGATCATTCAATTTCTTATACCTGTAAGTAACGATGAATTAAAATAATAAAAATTCTCATAAGCCAAATTATTATACTGGTATCAAAATAAGTTATAAATTTTAAAAACATAGTAAATTTAGAGTTAACTATAACAGAATTAGAGATACCTTATGCCACTGCTACTTCTGGTTTCTGGGTCAAATGCTTTATATCCACTGACTGTTGTTCCCACTTGTGCATTTTCATTAATTCGAACAGTTTGTCCTGAAGGGCTACACTCAGGGCCCTCATCCTGATTTTTCACACTGACAGTGACTGTCGCTGTGCTCATGGCTGATTTGGAACTAGCCTCTCTGGAGAACGGAGCTTCATTAACTACGCCAATTTGTAGGATCACTTGTTTCCTTTCTTCATAATTCAATGGCTACAAAAGCAAATGTGTTCAAAATCAGATCAACTCATTTGATATTTGGCAATGCTAAACAGTATATATAACTTGTTAAATTTGGAAATACCAAGTGCTGTCTGGAAATAGTCATGACAATATTAAACATACACTCAGAAACTGGTAGTAGGAAAGGGAAGGGGAATCCTTCCACTGATTCAGTATTTGGATGGAACTGGCAAAAAAGATAAAATACAGTTCCCTAACTCGAAATTTAAGACAAGTAGTAGAATAGACACCAATAAAGATTTTGGAAAGTATTTATTAACAATAAAGGTGCCTGCATGATAATACATGAGGTTCTCCTTTAGGGGGTTCATAACATATCCAATTTGGGGATAGTTATGTACTACCCCAAAAGTTTTAGGACAGCTTGTCTTACCCTCCTGAGATGAATAAAATTATTATTTGTATCTGGTTTGAGGTAGCAAAAGTTGGCGAAATTTTTTTAAATGCTTTTAAGAGAGAAGGGACAAAAAAGAGAAAGCTTATGGCCATTACATTTTCTTTCTTTTTCTTTTTCTTTTTTTTTTGTTTCTTCCATTCCAGTTCTTTTCTTAAAAACCGGAAGTACCAAGTTTGACAAAGGTTTCATTTTATTTGCCTGACATACAGTTGTAATGAGAATTAGTAAAGCCATATCCTAGAAGACAGAAATGTTTTCAAGTCTTGGACTTGATAAAGATAAATTTCCTTCTGAGAATACCAAGGACTGAGGCAGGGGTCAGATGAAAAAAGAGACAAGATTGAAAGGATACTTCTTTGCTGTTTTCAAACAGAGAAATTAATCCACAAACTGCAGCTAGTTTTCATCATTGCAAGGAAAAAAAGATTCATCATTTTTGATCCATGCTCCTTCTGAATATGTACAAAACTGTATAGAACCACAACTAGAATCATGTTCTAGCTAAAGACATGGCAGATATAAGCCTGTGACTTTGTCCAAGGCCAAAGGAGCTCACAACAGCATTATGTGCTAACTCTGGCTTCTTATGAATTAGCAGCGGGTTCTTCTCAGATGTTTTGCGATGGCTTTAGAAATAAGTTTTAGAAGTATTTACATCTTTGAATGGTTAAGGTTTCTCATTCCGAACGTGGATACTAAGAATGTAATATACAATGAAAATAAATGAGCAAACCTACAAATAGCCTCTCTGTGGGTCTGACCAGAAGTAACTCATCATTTGGAAATTCAGTAAATAAGTGGATCCTCCTTGACCCAGACACGGAAAGAACTGGCCAGGAAGTTTTGGCACCATCCCATGGGCATCAAAGCTGTGCTTGTTTTTGAATTGTTAAGGGTACTGGGTAATTGAACACACACACACTTATATATATAATATATTTTAAAATCATGCCTTGACAAAAGGTTACAAGAAATGAATATATTCTCTTCATTATATATATGAACATGGCATTTACATTTACCTACATATCTATTTTATTCCTACATTTGCCAGAATACCTTTCTTTACATTAAACTCTAGCATGCTATTATATTATAAATAGCAAATAACTAATTTACTAATTTATTCTTACCTTAACTACACACAGAACTCCTTCATTGGTTTTGGGATCTGTTACAATTTTGAAATTCCCATTTTCATTGCCCTTTAAAATGGTATAATTAGCTCTCCAGTTAGCAGTATTCACTAAATCTTTATCCTCAACAGTGACACGTAAGATTTCCACATCGACTGTATTTTCTTCCACTGAAGTCACATACTAAAATAATAAAAAGAAACGAAAGTCCCATTAGCATTTTAACTCTTACAAAGGAAGAACACTGTGTGAAGTAAGTCCCATTCTTCTAATTTCCAAAGCATTATGTTTACATGATTTTAAACCCTAACACCAAAGAACTGTTATGTCTTTGGGTGGGGGGGGGGTACTTCATGACATATGGATGGAGATATGCATATTGAACAATTAACATTGAGCTATACATTTTCCTTTAATTAATATCACATACTTACAGAAGTACGGGTAAATGTTGGCAAGTTGTCATTCACATCCCCAATATTAATGATACAAGTTGAAGTTGTCTGCCGACCAAAAGCTTGACCGTCCATGTCTTGTACTTTTATTTTCAATTGGTATTTATCAATAAACTGAAAACAAAGAAAGAATTTAATTATTCAGTGAAAGCAGCAACATTATAAATGAAATTTTAATTTACACTCTATAATTTTCTTTGCATTAATAGTTTAAGGGATACATTATTAAATTTCATGGTGTCCATGTACAGAAGAATAACTTCCTCACACTTGTAATTTTTAATTAATTTATGAAAATTGAGTAGTTTCTCAAATTTAAAGCACTATAAATTCGTAGAATATAGATTCAATTAGTTTTATCCTTATTCAACAGAAAGAGAAGAGCTATAGCCATAAGTGCATTTAAAATTGTCTGGTAATGAATCAAAATCTTTATCTCCTATCCAAAGTGCATTCTGATGTTTAAAAAAATATATAGCAGTATTTTAATAAAACAATAAAGTGAAATATCCTCTGGTGAAAAACTATAGATTTTAAAGATTTTCTTTACATTTATAAAAAGGTCATTAACTTTGCATGAAAATAAAGGTCTAGGACTATGTAATTTTAGAAAATAGAATCTGGCTCTTTGGATTTCCTGTTCATTAAATATTATAGAACACTCATCATTATTTTAAACGTGTTTTACATCATAATGGTTTCATTTATTATAAGTGACTGAGATATGGAAGGATTAAAAACAACATAATAATGCCTTCCAGACTAAGCATTAGGAGATTTGGGTTCTAGTCCCAACTTTAAAAATAACAAATGCAATCTTGGGTAGTTACAAAATTCTCTTTTCCTAGGTTTCCTCTTCTATAAAATGGTGATGATGATTAACTTTCCTCATCTCTTTTCATAAGACAAAATAATATGTGAAAATCTATCCTAACCTTTTTACCTAAAACATTTGTCCTTCTTACAAAGCCACCTTCTTCCCCAGATTCCATCACCTTTTAAACTTTCTTGTCATCATGTATTAATAAAACTCAAGTTTTATTCAAAATAAAACTCAAGTTTCTTTCTATTTCTGTGCTTTTTTACACATATAATTTTCTTGATTTACTCCTCCCTCATCACCCACCGCATGTGTAGATCTGAAAAATAATGGCCTTACTTTTATTGAAACTTTTAAGAACTCCATGCTACTTTATTCCCTATAAAAGGGAATATGTATTTTGCTTGTAGTGAACTAAGATTTATTGGAAATAAGTGATTGGCTGATAAAACAAAACAACGAAGTTTTATTATCCTAAATATTAACTTGTAAAATCTGCAGATGGGAGAGAAATTCTAATGTTTGAAGGGCTTAATAGGTTGTATGAAACATACAAAAACTGGAATAGTGGGGTCAAAATGTTACTAGAAAACACTATTGAGTAAATTTCATAGGTCAAATGTTTTCAGATGATTCTATCAGAAGGATCTATCCAAGGAAAAGTATTCGTGTGACTGATTTGTGAGCTAAACAAACTCTTGAGGTTTTTTCTTTTTTTTTTTTTCCCCATAGAGCACCATTTTTACATGAAAGACAGCTATGGTTATTCAGACTAGAATATTTGGAAGACATGTTCTCAAACACAAAGTGAAGCTGTCACTTCAAGGAAAACAACTCTTTGTTGCCAATGATAAATTGGAGTTTTCACGCAAAAAATGAGAATTGTGTATAACTTGTACCAACCATTGTGATATCAGTGGAGGTGAAGAGGTGATTTTTTTATATTGTTTAATGAAATATGTCAATATTTGGAGGATCTGCATAGCTGTGAACTAACATTTTCCAAATGACCAATCCATGATGTTACAAAATCATATGTCAGTAAAATATCCACTCACAATACAAGCCAGACCAATGGACTTTAATGTAACAAAGTACCGAAGTTCACTGGTAAGGCTTGAATCCACATTGCAAAAAACTTTTAGCAAATTGTCACTTGTCAAGCTGTGGTGTGTACTATCAAAAGAAGAATATCCACAATGATCTGAAATTACTATTAAAATACTTGCATATTTTCTAACTTCATATCATGTCAGATTTTCTTTATATACTTCAGCTAAACTACACAGTATAACAGAGTAAATGCAGAAGGAGATAAGAGAACCCATGTGTCTTACATTACGCCAGATATTAAAGAGATTTGAAAAAATGCATAATAATGCCACTCTTTCATTAATTATTTATTGTTTTAGAAAATGGACTTACTTTTTATAAAAATTTTATCTATGATAACATGTAATACATTTATTATTTTAAACAAGTAAATTAGTACATATTTTGAACTTTTCTCATTTTAAATACTAATAGTAAATATAGATAAATAGAATCCTCATAAGCAAAATATCTTTGGGTTCCCCACCAATATTTAAGAATGTAAAGGAGTACTGAGACCATAAATTTGGAGGAACACTTCTCTAATACAAGAGGGGTAGAAAAAGGGAGAGAAAATTAATCTGATATGAAGATTTAAGAATTAAAGAAATATAAACATTTATTACTATTATTTTAAGATCAAGGATTATAAATGTAGTAAGGGAAAAATCAAACTGCTATAAGAATTCAGGTGAATAATGGTTGGTAGAGGAGGTAATAGTTGAATAACTAAGTAAATGAATTACTAAATTAGGATATTGCCATGGAAACAGACAGACTATAGATACATCATAAAATAATCTCAGAGGTATTATCAACATGCTTTGGAAAGTGACTTGATGTAGGGAAATAAAAACAACATCAAACAGATTTTAGAGAACATGACTCCATGGTGAAAATATAAAGTTATTAATAAACAATGTAGTATTATTATTTTAACTAGAAAGCATGGGAAAATATGTTTGGCAGGAAAGATGACAAGTTAAATTTTGGAGGTATTATTAATACATCTTAAGTACCTGTGAGACATCCAAATTAAGACTTCTAGTAGTCAATTAAAAATAGCAAACTGGAGATTAGAGAGCTATAGATTTCCTTTTCATTTACATAACGAGGAGAATGTAGAAGAGATTGTTGAAAAGATGACAGACAGAAATAGAAGCATTTCTTTCTCTGTGGGTAACAAATTTCTGCATATTTCCAAAATGTTCACTTTTCATATTTGATATTTCTTATTTTTAATACCTAATAGATATTTATATTAGGAAATTTGACTGTATAAAACATATAATTCAGGAAAGAATGAATTAATAGTTCAAAGTTAGGACATTCCAAGGTTATTTAATGACCTCCATTAACACACTTAAAATCATAATTTTTCTAAAACTAGATTCATAACATGCTTTTCAAAAACACAACTATAGGAGATATACAAGTACTATTAAATAGCCATGTTATATCGATTTTGACTTATAAATATTTATGTTACCTCTCTGTCCAGCTGAGAGGATGTGGTGGTGATCACACCTGTCCTTGGATGCATAGAGAACAGTGTGGGTGACGCTGGCAGCTGCTCGATGATAGAGTACCTCAGGAGTGTGTGCAGTGTGTCAGGCTCATCTCTGTCAGTTGCGCATACCTGTCCCACAGTAGAACCTACACATGGAGAAATCCTCTTTGATTTCCAAAACTTTCACATTTTCAACCTCCCATTTATTTCACTCCTTTTCACCCACCTCAAAAAAGTTGGGTACCCGCTGTTATATAACACAGCCATGGTTTTTATAAGTTTGCCAATCTCTACATAAAGCATCACTTCCTTTTAAATATCATAATGTTCTAACATTTTGGAATTTGGCGATCATACTCATACTCATTATATATAATGTACGCTTTTATAAATGTTGATATTATCTCTCCATGACCTTTGTATTTCTACAGAATTTGAATCATTCTTTGTCCTTTTTTTCTATTTGTAAGCCTCTACTTAAATTTGGCCTTATCAGTCAATTTTCTCTAAAAATCTTTGATTCATTTAGACCTTTGTAGAGGAAGTCTTAAAAACTGCTTCTGACTTCCAACTAAAATAGACCATTTTCACAGGATTGAGAAAACATTTGTGTTTTTCTCAATGACTTTAATGATCATGCCCAGAATATTGTCAATCATTTATTCACTATAGAACATCAATAGATATTTTCAAGACTAAATCTCCAATTGCTCAGACTTATTCTTTTTGGACTATGTTCTCTTAAAAGCATTATTTTACCTCCCACAAGAAGGTAACATAACATCTATTAATACCTATATTTCAGGTACTATGTTTGACATCCCTCATGTATTATGCTTCATTTAATCTTCATCGCAATCTGGTATATTGATAACTCATTTTACAGATGGAGAAACGAAGGTTTGTCAAGGTTAGGGAACTTGCCCAGGGTCCCACAGCTAGTAAAAGGCAGCATAAAATTCCACCCAGAGTCCCTTGTTCTTGCTACCAGGATATGCTGCTTCCCAATGGCCAGGATGAAACTCAATTTATAGAATAACACACATTTAAGTTACCATACCTTGTTAAAATAGGTACTCACCTACTCTGCAATTTTCAGAAACTGTAAAAATGTAAGTTGCTTCTGTAAAAATTGGGTCATTATCATTGTCATCCTCTATTTTGATTAGCAAGGGCAGTGGAGCTTCTTGGAAGTACCCATCTGGAGTTGTGGCTAAGGCAACTATCTGCAAAGAGAGTAAAATAAAGAGAAAAGTGGAAATAATCTTTTAAAATAAGATAAGGGTTCAGACTTGCTTTGGCTTTACTTTAGTTTGGAGACTGGCATTAAGTCTCACCATTTGTTGTTGTTTTTGGATGCGTCTGTAACTTTAATGCTGAGGGAAGTGGTTAATTTAATTGTGCAGTACAGCAGTCTAAGGTTAAATTCATCTAATTCAGTAACAGATAATTTTAGTTTCCTCACAATTGCTGTATTGTTGCTCATGAGTGTAATGGTTGTTATTATTATTTCCCAAAACAGTCTTGAGGGCTTTCTTATTTTGTTTTGTTTAAAAGTTTCAAGTGCATGGATTTTAAATACAATTTTCTGTATTTTCTGATCTTTCTTAACTTTGGACTCTTTATAATTACAAATTCTCCAGAAGCAGTTAACTGGGACATTATCTTATTTTCTACTAATTAAGATTTTAGGGCTGGACAGGGTGGCTCACGCATGTAATCCTAGCACTCTGGGAGGCTGAGGCGGATGGTTTGCTCAAGATCAGGAGTTCGAAACCAATCTGAGCAAGAGCGAGACCCCGTCTGTACTAAAAATAGAAAGAAATTAATTGGCCAACTAAAAATATATAGAAAAAATTAGCCTGGCATGGTGGTGCATGCCTGTAGTCCCAGCTACTTGGGAGACTGAAGGATTGCTTGAGCCCAGGAGTTTGAGGTTGCTGTGAGCTAGGCTGACGCCACGACACTCTAGCTGGGGCAACAGAGTGAGACAGACTCTGTCTCAAAAAATAAAGGATTTTAGGCATACCAATGGTTATATTGAGATAAGTCTTTTCACAAGAGTTTTTTAATTTAAAAAGAGGGAGTCAGAAACAGAATAAATGAATGGCTATAAATTCTGTGTGGAATATAATTTATTTCCTTTGACTTTAGAATATAAATTTCAACTCTAATTTTTCTCATAACAACTATCACAGAAAGAGCAGAACTTTACAGGTACTCGGAAGTCCATGTTGTAGCAATTCTAAACCTAAATACTTTATGTGGAGCTTGCATGTCTCTTTGATCAATCTGGTCTTTCGATGAATAAGTGATTCATCCAAAATAGTTATACTAAAATTAAAACTGATTAAAGCAAAATGACCAGGTCCACTTGAGAAATCAAACCAGCATTAGGCTAAATTCTTACATATCAATTCACATTCCACCATAGTAAATTAACCAGATGATTAAAGGACAAAATAAGCTTACTTATACACTATTCACACTCCTTACCTGCTCGCCATAAGTTAACTTTCTCCCACTGCAAAAGTACTGAGGTTTATTTAACTTCTGAACCTCATTTATCTCTTACAGTGTCTCTGTACCATAAAGAGGTTCACAGATCTTTTCTGCCAACTAAATAACTACTCTCCAAAGTGGTGCTCTTTTTTTCCTTTAAAAAATACCTAACAATAAAACTATAATACCAGGAACAATTTAATAGACTCTAATGGTATTTAGTCTATGAAAATTCTTTTTGCATCAAGTCAATTTTGTGCTATCAGATAGCCAGAGCATCAGTGACAAACTCAGAAAACAGAAAAAGGAAAAATGAATTGAGGAGAGGCCGGGCGCGGTGGCTCACGCCTGTAATCCTAGCACTCTGGGAGGCCGAGGCGGTCAGATCGCTCAAGGTCAGGAGCTTAAAACCAATCTGAGCAAGAGCGAGACCCCGTCTCTACTGAAAATAGAAAGAAATTAATTGGCCAACTAAAAATATATAGAAAAAATTAGCCAGGCATGGTGGCGCATGCCTGTAGTCCCAGCTACTCGGGAGGCTGAGACAGTAGGATAGCTTGAGCCCAGGAGTTTGAGGTTGCTGTGAGCTAGGTTGACGCCAGGGAACTCTAGTCCAGGCAAGAGAGTGAGACTCTGACTCAAAAAAAAAAAAAAATGAATTGAGGAGAGATAAAATGGCCAAGCTTAATAATTACGAATATAGTAGATATACTTTAGACTTTACCTGAAAAGAGTCGTACTCCTCACGATCTACTGCTTGAGTACAATACAGGTTGCCAGTATCTCTCTCCACATAAAATAAATTCCGAGGTTCTTGGTCAACTCCAGGACCTTTTATGGAATAGTATATGGTGTAGTTTTGTGCTGTGTCAGATTGAACCTAGAAAGTAAATATTATATGCATGAGACAAATTATTATTTCAGCAGAACTTTCATCTGTATATTTGTGCACTTTGCCATTTTATTACAATAAATAATTGCTTTCTTTTATTTATTATTATGTATAAATAAAGAAAACAGCAATAGAATGAGGAAGCCAAACAGAAATTTCAAGAGCAAGGCATGAGTAAATTAATGTAGCGTCTTAGTTTCCCAACGGCTAAATGGTGACGACCAAACATTTAAGATTTTTCCTGTGTTAGAAAACAAAGTATTCTGAGCATGAAAAATTATTCTGTTGGAGCTTTTATTATATGTGAATAATATTTAAGACATTGGGTTTAAAGTGTACTATCTGAAGGTCAAAACTTGAAAAATACTTTCCTTAATGAATCTTTGTTGTCAGCATTTTCCTTACTATAAGAATTGATAAAAAAAAAAAATATGAGTGAGAATAGAAATAGAATAATATCCTGGCATGTGTGATATTCTGATCCTTGATTCAAAAAGCAAATTTCTCCCAAGCTGTATTCATTCTCTCAGTAAGATCTTGACTATCTTTACATCAGGATGACTAACACAATTATTTTCTGACAACTTCTTACTCATCTTTAATAAGCTCTTCCCTCAGCTACATTATATTTGTTGGTGGGGTATAAAAAAAGGATTCTCTCTCACCATTTCCAGAAGTGAGGGGAAAAAATAACCTAACTCATAGACTGAATGGGAGTAGCCACTGATAGCAGAAGAAGGCAAGAAGATTGGGGTTTCCACTAAAAGTTAAAAAAGAGGGAAAAATGTGGATTCAGTGTGATTTCAGATGTGGATTTGAGAACAGCAATAGAAAAGCCAAAGTGTCTTTCTCCTTCATGGCATTTGGTCTTTGATCAGCAATTTTATCCTTTATTACGGAAGGTATTTTGGGGTTTTCTAGGCCTGTGGACCCCAACCTGCAGGCTACAGACTGGTTACTGGTTCGTGGCCTATTAGGTTCTGGGCGGCAGAGTTGCAAGTAGCAGAGTTTCCCAGGCAACCTCTGTGGAAAAATTGTCTTCCATGAAACTCAGGAAATGGCGGGGCGGGCACAGCAGGAGGGGAGCTGTGGGCCAGGGAGCAAAGCTTCATCTGCATTTACAGCCTCTCCCCATCACGGGCATCACCGCCTGAGCTCCACCCCCACACCCTCCCACCACCTTGCACACCCACACCCCATCCATGGAAAAACTGTTTCCCATGAAACCCATCCCTGGTGCCAAAAAGGTTAGGACTGCTGTTCTAGGCTATGCCCAGGCTCTGTGATACCCTTGCTGATTTGAAAATTCATTAAGGAACCATGTGTTTGAGAACGCTAGATGGATTTTCCAGTTTTATAATGGCTTTTTCATGGCTAAAACATCAAGAAAGTGTATATAGTAATAGAAAGATATATTTATACCCATGTATCGAAACATACGATACACATATTCACTCATATATTCACACACACCTATTTTTAAATAACTGCATAGTCGGTGTCAAAATGTTTAAAAGATGGAAACCACAGACCTCCACAGTAGAAAGAAATTAAACTGTACCTGTTGAAGGAAAAGTGGGAAAGGACCCAAGGAATTCTCCATCATTGAACAAGGAATAGGAGCCCATCTTCTCTTGCCACGTCTTAGAACTTTTTCTTTAGCATGCCTTTTCTTCAATACCTCAATTTAGAAGACAGAAATAAATAAATAAAGTCAGTGACTACTTTTGTCAAACATTAGAACTCTGATACATCTTTCTCCTCTCATGAGGGTTAGCTGGGGAAGGTATAAGACCATAGTAGTGCTTGAAAACCAAACTAAACGTTCAACATTGCAAAAAAAATTATGAAGAAGTAACTGCCCTAATTGTTATCACAGCAATCCTCTTGAGAAAATGATTTGATGGAAAATGGAGGAAAGAGAGATGGAATTGGGAGCCTAGAAGCAAAACTGAAAAAAAAAAAAAAAATTACTGTTGCCACACTGCCATGCAAACACATGGGAGGAGAGATATGCAAAGAAAATAAGTGAGTATGTGCCCTTCTAAATTTAGCATGATCATCTTCCACTCACCAGCAACTAGGCAGAGCCAGGGGACCAACAGAGAGATCTGTGTCAGAATGAGGAGAAAAATATGGTGACAACTCTCAAACTACTGCAGTGAGGAATGGCCAGTGGTCGAATAAAAGTCATTTTGATCTTGGGTGTCCCAACACAATAAGCATGCGTGTGGTCCAAACTCCTCCTAAAATTGTCATCTATTTCCTAAGACTACAAATTATGCTAAGATACAGGAGAAAAAAAAATTTTTATCCAGAGATAGAGTTCCAAAACTTCTTTTTGGAAATCCATTCTATAGTAAAGATCAAGATAAGCTTCTTTGTGCCTGATCTCAAGTTCTCATGCTGTAATTTATCCCAAGCTCTCCTTTTACGAACCAAATGAGAAAGACCTGTAATAATATATTAATATATTATACAACCCTTTTCTTTCCTTTTAAACACTGTTAAGCCATCTCATGGTTTTCATTCTTCTTCAAGACAAACTAAACTGTATCCTTTCTGAGTCCACATCTTCCCTGGTAATGTTAGTTACACCTGAAGAAAAGAAATCATTATACTTATTTATATAGTCTTGTATACCTTTGTTTGATGCTCTAAAAGGACAAATATTTTCTTCTCTTCCTGCTTCTCAGTGTTAGAAAGTGATATGGTAAAGCTTCTCTTCTCCGAGGACAAAAGAATAGCATGTGTTGTATAGACTGAACCATCTTCTAAAATTTGGAAATCAGGATCACTTGAATGAATTAAGTTTGCAGATTTAAAGCACTCCTTCAGGTTAACTGTAGAAAATATACATAGCAATCATTTGTAAGGTAAAACATAATAATATGTAGTTTTAATAGTCATCTATGCATGTGGGGGAAGGTAAAAACTTAATTATTGAGACTTATAAACTTAGCATTTTTAAAAGGACGTATGACATTATATGATTAAGTTGTGCTTATACATCACTTCTAATAACTACTTTATACCCTCTTAAAGAAGAGACATTTGCCCTGACATAAAGGCATGTGAATTCGTGTTTGAATATTTAAACCAGCACCAAAAAAAGTTTTTCTTTACTAACTGAAATTAGCTATAGAATAATACATAAGAATACTTGAGTAAGTTATACACGATCTAGCAGATTAAAATCGGCAGTTATTAAATTAAAATATTATGAACTCTTTATATCTGTTAAATAGTCATCATATTTTGTGTTCTCATTGGTTTGATCTTTCACAAAGTTGACTATGTGAAAAAAATTAATTGATAAGAAACAATATGTGGAAGCAAATGCAATAAGATGTCAAAAGATTAAGATGAAAATTCAAAACAATACCTTTAAACTCAAGAAATAGTTTCAATACTATTTCTCAATATTTTAGAAGCATGTTAAACATATTCTCTATCCTTCATCTAATGTCAGTATTAAGAATTTATTACTCAAACTAAACCTTTTTATTGACTAATATTGTCATGTTTTTCAATAAAGAACAATGTCCTTTTCATGTGAATGATACTATACCACATGTATTACAAATGATCATGTACTATATTAATTTTAACTATTAGTCCCAACACAGTTATCATTCTAAAACTTACACTAACTTTTAAAAGATCATACCAAATTAGTATTTATTACATATTTTGGCAGTTTCTTACCTCTCCCAACAAATTTCTCAGCGTCTAGTTTGGAGGGAACATGTAGTGTCACATTTTTACAGGCATCACTGGCAAATGTTAAGATCTAAAACATTAAAAAAAAACAACCAAATCAACATCATGCATTAAAAAAAGATTCTTTTAATGTGTATATGGCTTATATAAATACTATTTTATATTTATATATACCAATTATGGTCTATATTAAATATATTAATTACATATGTTTTATTAATTAAAATATTAACCAAATAAATTTATATTTATTATTATATAAAAGTTATATAAATTTTCATTATAAATCAATTTATATAATTAGCAAAATACAATTATAATATACTGGAATAAGAAATCAGAAAAAAACTATAGAAAGAGGAACAATAAAACAATAAACTTAGAGTCATGGCTCCCTCCAAAAAGCATGTAAACTCAGAGAATTATGTACCTTCTTGGGCTTTGTTTTCTATACTGTAAAATGGATTTCATAGTAACTTCATTGACTAACTTAGTGGGTATACTGAGGATCCAACAACAATCTATGTGAGAAGACACTGAAAACTATTAGGAAGACAGCACAGGTATGTAAATAGGAAAGAGAAACAAAAACAAATATATTGAGGCAGCAAATTGTTTCAATATATTTTTTCTTGTCTGTGAGCCATGGAACCAAATCAGTAATATCCTAAACAAAAACTCAATGCTGGAGTGATTTGGAGAGTATTTATGTGTTATTCCACACAAAAAAAGCACATATATAACTTTAAAATATGAACTTACTTTGAAGATGCATCTAATCATAAATGAAATTTAAGGTCAATATAGAAAATAGTTCACTCAAAAAATTTTTTAAATGATTTAGTGATTTAAAGTGAATCAATTCTAAGTGATTTAAGGTGAATCAATTCTAATTTAAGGTGCATCAATATGTTGTATATAATACAACACATATCTAAACACATTGAAATTTAATTCTGTTCTCTCTGAAACTTTACAGTACATGCTTCTGAAAGATTCACATTCTTTTTTCCATAGTTTGCAAATACCTTTAACTAAAAGCAAGATAGCTAACTAGTATTTACACTGTTATTTACAAAATTTATAAACACAAACTAAAGTCATCAAAACTTGGATGAAAATTTTCATCTTTAATATATATCAAAGAATTTTAATTATCTAAATGATATATGAAGGATCAGGTAAGACAGAGATTGTGTTGCATTTGGAAATTAGGGACAGACACATTGAAGAGACTGTACCTGAATTGGAAATTAAAGGATAAGAAGAATTTCTCCTGGCTGCATAGTCAAGAGAGAATAGGAGTAGAACCAGATGATTCTTAGGATTCCAGATCAAGGCGACTGAAAGAATACATCCACTAGGTGCTAAGCAGATTCAAAGGCCACCACAGTGAACAAAAGCAAAGTCCTTGCCTTCATGAAGATTACATTATAATGAGGGATAAAAAAATAAATAAACAAATGCACATATGTCACAGAATGCCAAGGCAGAAAGAAGTAAATGCTATAAAAAAAAATAATAATAAAGCAGGGAGAGGATGACAAAAGCAAGATCACAGCCAGATGAAAGGAGGAAGCAAACCCAATATCTGATTGGGGAGGAGTCTCCCAGGTGGGGCATGAACCAGAATAAAGGCCCTGGAAGGGAACTTCACCTGGTGGACTGCAGGAATAACAAGGTCATAGCTGTGGAGCATAGTAAGGGAAAAGTGACAGGAGATGAAAACAAAAGGACAGCCAAGAGCATATCATGGAGGGCCTAAAAGGCCATGGTAAGAAGCACGGATTTTGTTCTGAGTACACACAGAAGCAACAGCACAGTTAAGAATCTGCAGAGTGGCATAATCACTCTGCTAGCTATGTGGAGAACAGGCTGTCAAGAAGCAAGGGTGGAAGCCTGAGACCAACTGGATGCCGACAGCAGGAATCCATCAGAGGGATGATGGTGACCAGGACTAAGGTAACAATAGTAGAGAAGGTGAGAAGTGGCTGGATTAAGACAATTCTCTGGGTAACAGTATTATGGACATCCATTCATTCATGTATTCAAGAAATATTTATTGAATGTCTACTATGTCCCAGACACAGAACAATAAACATTGGCCAAGAGTAAGACACATTTGTAACTACAATGAAGTTGGATAAATGCAATGACAGAGAAGTACAGGGTGCTATGGGAGAGCAAGGCAAACTAATTCTGCCTAAGGAGCCAGGTGAGATCAAGGTGGCTACAAATCAGCCACGTTCAGAATGGGTGGAGCTTAAATGTTCCAAACCAAGGAACAGCATAAGTGAAGGCTCAGAGATGACACAGACCTAAAAGAGAAATCTGGCATGGTTGATGTGAATAGCACAAGGGGACAGAGCAGGGGTTTAAAATGGCTTTAGAGAAGCAGGTGTGCGACAGACTCTGAACAGCTATAACAGAGTATACAGATCTTTTTCCCCAAAGATAGTAAGAAACCAAAGGTTTATTTTAAGCAAATAAATTGCATAAGAAGCTTTATATTTAAATAAAATAAGTCTTACCAATGTGGAGAATGGATGGGGGGGGGAACCACTTTCATTTCCAATAATGTTAGGCTAGTTAATAGAAAACCCTATGCCAAAACTAACTAAAAACGATGGATAATATATTTTTTAAATATCCTAAAAGCACAAAAAGCTAACAAAATGCCAAGGAATTGCTATGCAAGAGCTGAAGGTAACTTGGAACACAACTGGTAAGAGGAAGAGAGGAAGCCAGGAATGACTTCTAACCTGCAAAGATTTGAGTCTGGTTTTTTGGCCCCCACAGAGAAGAAGAGTGACATGAAAGCATTGGGCCCACCTAAGATGGAAGAGAAGATCCTCTCCACATTCATCTGGGACCCCCCAACTGCTAAGCCCTCATTATAAGTTTGAGCCAGAAAGTACACTGGCCCTAGCATGGATTTGTGACCCTCATTCATATCATTTGTTTGGTGTAGAAACCTGAAGCCATGAATCAATTTAAAGAAGGCCTGGCATGTAATCACCACCGAAGATACTAAAAGGCACTTAACCAAATTCAATAACCATTCTTATATTTTTTAAGCCTTAAAAATTAAGAATTAATATGTACTTTTACAATACGATTTTGATATAATCACAACACCAAAGGGAAAGCACTAGAAGCAATCCCACTAAACTTAGAGACCAAAAGGGCTTTCCAAGGTCATCATAGGGAGTTTATATGACATGGAAGGTATATTTGCAAGAGGAATGCATTCGATGGCATATGAATTAAAAAAGAAGAGGTAAAAAAAAAATTCTCTATTTACATTTTATATGACTACTTATCTGGAAAACCCAAGCAACAAACCAATAAAGTACTATAAAACGATAAGAGACTTCAGTGAGTGTACAGAAATAACCATAAAAATATAGAAATCTTGTGTTTTCATACCCAGAAATATAGCCAGTTAGATAATATAATAGAAGAAATCATTTCAAAAGGAAGGAAAAGTTAGAATGCCAAAGAGTAAATTTAACAAGATACGTGCAAAGCCTATTTGAGGGAAACCTACAAACTTTTCTGCTGGACACAAAAGCAGAAAAAGAAAGACAGAAATCAACTTTCTCTCTCTCTCTCTCTCTGTATATATATGTACTCACACACACCCATCCTTACTAAGTTAAAATACACATTTTATGATACCAATAAAAATTCCGATAGAATTTTTCTGGAACTAAACAAGCTGATTCAAAAGGTCATAAGGAAAAACAGAAAATTAAGGATAGATAGGAAAATCATGAAAAAGAAAAGCAATGAGAGGATATTAGTCCTAGCAGATATTAAAAGATTTTATAAAGTTTCAATAATTAAAATAATGTAGTATCAGCATATGAATAGACAAATAGATACATATGAAAAGGAAAGGAAGAGGTAAAACAATTCCATTTGCATTTGAAATGACTGCATACAGTCCACAAAGGAGGTAACTTTTTTATTATACCCACCAATAATTTATCCACACTCTAGCCACTACACAACATGTCAAAGTTTTGGATATTTGCCATGTGTGAAATGACATTTTGATGTCATTTTTAACTTATTTTTTCTTATTATGAGTGAAGTTGACATATTTTTATATTTTAAGGCCATTTTATTACTTTATGGAAAATTTTCATGTCCATGTTCATGTTGGACTTGTTCTTCTTGATTTGTAAGAGTTCTTTATATATTAGACTAGCCTTTTAAAATATGATCTGAAAATATTTTTTTCCAGTTTACCAATCACCTTTTTTGACTTTGCTTATGGTGTTTCGTTGGGCTTAGTTGTTTTTTTTTTCCCCATGGAGAAGTATGTGTGTACGTGTTTTTATATAATTGATTTTCTCAATTTTAATAAATTGGCTTTTAAAATCTGAGTCATTAATAGGCTTTCTTGACTCCAGATCTGTACAGCAATTCATCATGCATTTTTCTATTACCTATATGGTATCTTTTTTTTTAAAACAATAGAGACAGGGTCTTGCTCATTCTGACCCCCAGGCTAGAGTGTAGTGGCGTGATCATAGAGCACTGTAACTTTGAACTCCTGAGTTCAGCAATCCTTCTGCCTCAGCCTCCCAAGTAGCTAGGACTACAGATGTGTGCCACCACACCTGGCTAATTTTGGAATTTTTTTGTTGAGATAGTGTCTTGCTCTGTTGTCTGGGCTGGTGTCAAATTCCTGGCCTGAAGTGATCCTCCCACCTTGGCCTCCCAAAATGCTAGGATTATAGGTGTGAGCCACCATGCCAGCGGGTATCATATTTTACATTGAAATCTTTCATCTGTTTGGAGTTTTATGTGGTGTTCTATGAAGCATTATTCAACTTCATCCCTTGGCAAATTACTGCCTAGTTCAATTGGTCTCAAAGTCATTCTTACTTAATACTATCTTATAATAATATATTTATCCTCAATGATGTGATATGTCATGTCATGATAGCTCTCTGTCTAGTCCTATACAACCTTTATGGAGAGAAGAGCAATATATACCAAAATTATAGAGTCATTTACACTTTTGTCAATCCCATTACTGGTAATCTATTCTATTGATACACCTGCCCATATATGAAATGTATATATTCAAGTTTATTCACTGTGATATTATATGTAACAGAAAAGAAACAGCAGAAGGGATAGGTACAAGGAAACAGATCCATGAGATATCTTTGAATGTAGATTTAATGGGGCTTAATGATGGATTAGGGAAGGGGAGCAGTGAGGAAGGAAAAACAAACAGCTTCCAGACTTCCGTCTTGAGGAACACACTATAATAGTGCTATATATTGAAATACATGGCACTCAAAGAAAAACAATATTGTTTGGGAAGATAACAAATGTGTCACACATCACAGTAGGTAGAGAGATATAAAAGCCTATTATTTGGTGGAGACTAGCAATATTAATTAATCTGCTAATAGACTAGCAATATTAATTAATCTGAACTAGCAATATTAATTTAGGATATGCTGACATCTATGTAATATTTCAAGCTAAAAAAAGTGGTTGAAATGGCCTGGTGAAAAGATGTAAATTTCAAGGGACAAGACCTAGAACAGAGCCACAAAGAACATCAACATTTAAGAATGGAGGAAAAAGTAGTCAAACTCAGAGCAGAAAATAGAATGGTGGTTGCCAGGGACTGGGGCTTGAGGAAAATGGGGAGTTGCTGTTTAATGGGTATAAAGGTTCAGTTATGCAAGATGAAAAAGTTCTAAAGACCTGCTATACAAGATTGTGCTTACAGTTAATAATACCGTACTGTACACTGAGAAATTTGTTAACAGGATAAATCTCATGTTTTATCTTTTTAACCACAATAACAAAGTGGAGAAAAAGAAACTAGGTATCGAATCAGATTCTGAGTGGTCAGAAAGGTAAAAAAAAAAAAAAAAAGCAAATGTCAAGTAAAAAGGCACAATCAACAAGGTAGAATTGTATAAAGAATGAAGTGTCACTTGGATTTAGCAAGGGAGCTCCCTGACAACCTTAGAGGTGGCTAGACAGAAAAGACAAGAGTGCAAATGGCCAAGACACGTGACAGGTGAGGCAATATTAGGAAGGGAGGAGAAGCTGATTGTGGAATGGTGAAGGATTACTTACTTGGGTGTATGGGAAGGAGGTAATTTAAAGGGCACCCCCACACACCAAAGTCATTCTGATTTAACAATATCTTACATTTAAATAATCGCTACACATTTCTCACGCTTGAGGCTCACAACCACAACAAGCACCTGTGCCTGGCAGGGCTTTGCACAGATAGGCTTCAGAGAGTCAGAGCAATTTAAGGGACCCCCGCTAAGATTTCCAGCTAGAAAGTGCCAGAATGAGGGTGTAGCCAGGGCCAGCACTCTTTTTCTCTTCACCCTACTCCTGGCCTATCAAACTCTGAAGCTAAGGGAGGCCAGGGAATGGGGATTCGATTCCAGTTTATTCACTTAATACCTTGCTCTCTTCTAAAAAGGATCTGAGATGCCACGCAGAAAGTTGTGTGTGAACACAAGCAGAGCAATGCTATCTATGTATTGCCAGTGCCTGAGCGTGCCTTTTCCTTCAAAGAATAACGGCCACTCTTTTAAAACGAAATAGCAACTTTATTAGGATTCTAACCAAAATCCATTTGTCATCAACAACACATTTTGTGACCGTTATTTATTCCATTCTCAGGTTACTCAATTGTAAAATGTTAACTGCTGTGTACTTGGCCCTTTGTATGTTATTAATATGCCCAAGGAATTTAGTTAAGGCTTTGAAGTCCATTCCGTCCCTTGGGGAAGACATTCTAATAACAGTAACAACTACAATTTCATTACTTAAAAATCTGGGAGTCTATTGTGAAATGACAGCGGAAGAGAAAGGGGAAATTATCCAACTATTTCAGCGCCCGGTTCCACCACTCCTAGGAGAAATCATCCCTCCGGGTCCCTCCCTTTGTCCTTCAGAGCTGACTCGCGCCCAACGCCTGAGGCTCAGCATGAAAGGATCCTACGGAGTTGAACACTTTTTTTGCACCGGGTCGAACTAACTTTTCTCCTTTTCCAGGGGCGGAAAAGTCCAGCAGGGAACACCTTTGGCCCCAAACTGGCCCCGATCCCGTCTTCTAGGCCTGGGAGGGGGGCTGTCCCGCCATAAATAAGGCCACCCCCTATGACTTCCAGCTCTGGAAAAGGGTCGGTTCACGAGGGCTGTTGTGGTCTTTAAAGTGGGAACGAAGCTGGGGCAAGGCGGGGGGCGGGGGGAACCAGGGGTGAGCAGAAAATTGTAGACGCCTTTGGGGACAAGAAATCAGGACAATCATTTCCCCAAAGAATTAGGGGACGGAAGCCTCGCACACTAAGAAACTATGGAAATGGTCACCTGGGTCCCGCCCATCTACGGGAGCGGAAGGTCGAGACTCCCCTCCCCCACTCCTCCCAATCCCCCGAAGGCGAGTGGCGAGTCGTCTCCTCTTCGACCCAAGGACACTCGCTTTAGGTCCCGTCCCTTTCCGTGGCCAGAGCCGGACGCCGAGGCGGCCGCACACTCCCGGGGCACGTGCGCCAGGCGCAGAGCAGCAGCCGGGCGCACCCCGCGACCCGGCGCGTACCCAGAGGCCACGGTTCTGCCTGGGCGCTGGCAGCTGTCGCCTCTGCCCCAATCTGCCGGCGCTGATTACATCTGCGGCGACACCCTTCCCTCCCCTTGGGGATCCGGGCGCAAGGTCGCGATCCTCTCCCTGTCGGCCCTCCCTCCGCCCCCACCAACCCCATTTTTCAGCCACCCGAGGCCCCTGGCCCCCAGCTTTGCTCGCCGCCCCCGCCCTCCCCTGCTCCCCAAGGTTCCCCCGCCTCCCAGGCGGTCGGGCCACTAGTCGGAGCCGGCGGCCCGGGTGACACTCACCGCGAGGGTCAGCAGGAGCTGCCGGCAGAAGGCCGCGCTCCGGGGGCCGGTGGGTCGCGCTGCCGCCATGGAGCGCGCTCGGGGCGGGTCGCCGGCGGGTGGCGGGCGGGCGGGCGGGCGGGCTCGGCGGGGCGCAGGGCCGCGGCCGGGCGCAGCTGGGCCGCCGCGCAGAGCAGTGCGAGGCGGAGGAGGCGGAGCGCGCGGAGAGGCGCTTTTCTTCTCGGTGTCTCTGAGGCGCGGGCCTCTCACTCCAGGGGCTTTTCCTCTGGCCGAGGGTGGGGCTCCAGGCGCGTCCGAAAATCACGGATCGGCCCCTCCTTGCAGTTTCCTTAAGCCTTCATTTCTTTCAGAACGCTGCAAATGGGAACTCCCTGTCGCCGCCACCCTTTTACCTGCGCTAGGTGTTCCTCACCAGCGGACGCCACCTATATGCCCCATCACCCCCCCCACCCCCGCCCCAGTGTCCGCCCGGCTAGATTAGCAGCCGGCCCTGCCCAGCAGAAGCCCTGACTGTACAGAGACTCACTCCCGAGCGCGCTCCCCGGCCCGGCTCCGCCCTGGCCGCTGCCCTGGCCGCCCCCTGTGGCCCCTGCCCTGGGGTCAATTGCAGTCCCACAGAGACCGCCTAGATATGAGCCGGAGAGGCTGCAGTTTACGTCCCAGCTACCTAAGGCCCACCTGTTAGAGGGCTGACTCCAGGGAGACTGTTTTACACACTCTTTACTGGAGTGAATTTCCTACAGACATCCAAATGCGCTTTAGACAGGATTTCCATCTGTAGAACACCCTTCTGCGGGGGCTCGTGTTCTTAGAGATTTGATGGTTACTATGAGAACGACACAAGGAAATTACCACAATTTAGGAACAAAAATCCATCCATCCATCCATACATCCATCCATACAGTTAGGGAATCAAGGCTACGGGAAAATAACAAACCCCATTGTGAGTTACTATACAAAATGCATCGATTGAGGTCCTAGACGTTGGCTAAATGTGGTCTACTGACTTTCTCCAAAAACCTCCCTTGCAACAAATAAAACTAAATGCAGGCCTTCTTTTTAACTTATTTCCAACACTGGAATCCTGAACGTCTCCTAGTGGAGAGTTCTCTTTCTTTACAGCCATCAAAACCAGACCTCGTGGTGAGAAAAGAAAGACTGGGGTAATTTACACTTCTATTTGAAGTGCACTTAAACTGGATGAATTATCCCTGCACTTATCCTGGAAGATTAAAATATAAAAGCTGTATGCTTTCAGTTCAGAAAGCAATGACAAGTCATTCTGACTCATCTTCTTGTACCTCTTGTTCAATTACTGGCTTAAACCAGGTTAAGTCTGACCACAAAGGAGAAACTTGTTTAAGTCTCCTCAAGAATGTTGGGAGAAACCTGTGTGAAAAGCCAACCATGACACTCACACCATTTTATTTTATTTTATTTTATTTTTTTTGAGACAGAGTCTCACTTTTGTTGCCCTGGCTAGAGTGAGTGCTGTGGCGTCAGCCTAGCTCACAGCAACCTCAAACTCCTGGGCTCAAGCAATCCTACTGCCTCAGCCTCCCAAGTAGCTGGGACTACAGGCATACGCCACCATGCCCAGCTAATTTTTTGTATATATATATTTTTTTAGTTGGTCAATTAATTTCTTTCTATTTTTAGTAGAGACGGGGTCTCGCTCAGGATGGTTTCGAACTCCCAACCTTGAGCAATCCGCCCGCCTCGGCCTCCCAGAGTGCTAGGATTACAGGCATGAGCCACCGCGCCCAGCACTCACACCATTTTAATTCTTGAAAACATTTACCATCTTAATGTCATTATATACGGAGCCAGAGTTATTGCCGTATTGAGCGTATATTGAAATCAAAATTAATGTCAAACAGTTCATGCCTTACATTCTCTGTTAGTCCTATGCTCTCTTTTATTAGTGAATATCACACAGTGGTATTCACACAATTCTGTTGCCTCCATGTCCATAAAATTATAATTGACCCTTGGCTAGTAAAATAAGCCTGGGTCATCAGCGTGAGACTACAGTTGACAGCCTTCCTTTTCCATATTTTTAAACACTCATGTTTTTCCAGCAATGATTTCATAAACACACCTCATCGTATTCATGATGACATCATGATCTCCAGCGTGAAGTTTTTCAGAGGATGGAGAAGCAAACTAGTTTCAGGTTCTAGAAATCTACTCAGACTATTGTCACAGCTTTTGACAATAGGGCATTTCCAAACTCTTGTCTACGCTTTAACCTCTAATGCCTTGAGGGTGGCTGGTGTTTTTCCTCATTCCGGAAAAGGGCGGGAAGAGCAATTTGACAGGAATTCATCTTAGATACTTATTTTCATCTTTCACACTAGGTAACTGATCGAGACAATTAAAACCATGATTTTTGTTGTTCATTTCATCATGAAAAATTTTTAAACAAAGGAATAAAATATAAACTACTTACTCTAAATAAGTGGACCAACTTATTTAATGCATTTAGATTAAATATTGTTGCTGAAATGGATTCCTCTATAAAACAGGTTTGAAACAAGGGGCATAAATTTAAAGAGGCAATGAGATGTGGGTAGGTGTGATTGTTTTTCAAGAATATCTTCTGTCTATGGATGTGATTCTGCTGACATGAACTGATTTTCCATTGCTCTATAGCAAGAAGTGCCCAAGAGCCAAGGAGCAACTTCCTTTATGTTGCTCAAGTCATCCGCCAGCTCCCAACATTCTCATTTGTTAAGATGATCAAAGTAACACTGACTGTTGTCTGTGGTACATTCCACAATCTAAAATCAAACTATTTAGTCTGCTTGTGACAGATTTTTGAGAACCATGACTGGAAATGGGTCTTCATTTCAGACACAACATAGGGAGTGAGAATCAGAGTGGTCCTTAAAGAAATGAACAATCTGGGCTGGGCGCTGTGGCTCACGCCTGTAATCCTAGCTCTTGGGAGGCCGAGGCGGGCGGATTGCTCAAGGTCAGGAGTTCAAAACCAGCCTGAGC